TTTGTTTACGCTTTCTCTCTTCTTGAGATGTTGATCCAGCTTCCGGGTTTGCTGCTTCTGGATTTCTCTCTTTCATTCCACCTTCAATTCCAAAATCAATATTTTTGTGAGTAAAACAAAATAGTGTAGAGCCTTCAACGTAAACCAAAAGATCATAGTTGATATACGTAGGTAACACAGCTAAGCTAATTCATTTTAGAACATAAAACCATTCTACTACATAAGTACATAGTCAAGAAAACCTCTAGAGCTCTATCTTTTTTTACACTCTAGAGCTCATAAAATTGTTTAAGACTTTGTAATATAGATCATAGCAAGAATGGAGATGAGAAGCACATAGAGGTAAAAATTTATTAGTCCTCCAAATCACACACCTTTCTATAGTGTTCTGAGCAAAGCACTAAAGACCCTATAGAAGCTCCCAAGGTCACAGGTTTGAACCCCAGCACGAGCGATCTAATACTTGCTAGTAGCTAGAATATTAAAAAAGACAAAACACAAACCTTGATCTGCTGCTTCACAAACTGCTTGCTTCTCCTTGTCTATAACATTTATAAAAAAAAAATGGATTTCATTACAACTGACGACAACACGAAGATGAACATATAACATATATATTAAAAAAAACAGAACATAAAAATTTTTGGTTTTGATCTTTGTCTATACTAAGCAGCTTCGAGAGAGTCAGAATAATCTTACCATGTTTCTGCAACTCCGACCCTACTAAAAAGCTCCAACGAATGCATCATGGAAATNGTACAGTACAACACTTACTTTCATAATCGTTACTGATCACGAATCTATTTTTCGGGACGGAAACCCTAGAAAATTCTTAATAGACTCCAAAGATCTGCAAAATTAGAAATTATTGGGGAAATTAATATGATGTGCACAGAGGTTCCGAAATTAGGGTTTGTACATCATAAAGCTCGAATAGACAGTTAGATTCCTAACGAAGACAAAGAGGCTCACTAATTACATGCGATTCCGAGAAAGCGACGAATAACAGTGACTGAGGAAAGGAATCTGCAGAAAAGGCAATCAAATGATCTCGAAACCCATGAATCAGAGAAGAAGCATATACGAACGCCGAACGCAAGGATCGTTACCTCTTGCTGATTTTGATGTCGCGTGAGAAAGCAAAATAAAAAATTATCTCGTAGTGAGAGAGAAGGGAGATTGGAGATGGATTGTTGATGTTGTGCTTTTTTGTTGTTTGTGAGAGTGAGAGAGGAAGGAGAAGAGAGAATGAGAGAGCTCAGAGAGGGGAAGTCATATTACAAACGGTGAAGAAGGCGAATCGCGTGAAGAAACGTCGAAGCTAAAGCTGCTGATGTGGATTATTTTATTGACATGTCATGTTTCTACTGGCTAATTATTTTTGCAGACGTGGACATGCTATATGTTGAGTATATCCACCTTTTAGTAGTGTTAGATATATAGGATTAGAACCAAAGCCCGTTAGAAAGTCCATGTCAATCAAAACCGACCTGATTCATGTATATATGTAAAGATCAAATCAATTTTATAGGCGGCTTTTTTCTTTTTTTTTTTTTGATAACCCAGTATCCGACCACTAAGTATGATCGACTAGCCCCCGGGTCTAAGTCCATGCCATGACAGGATTTTTAAGCGTCCACTTAAGGGCTCCTGGTTACACTAAGTGGCTTTTTTTTTTTTCTCTACCCTAATTTAGATTATCCCTTGGAAAGCTATGTCTTCCGAATCTTCTCCAGGTATAAGCTCTCTCACTCACTCCCTGGGAATATATGTATTACAGATTGTGTCTATGCGTTGCTTAAAAAGTGAAAACCTTACATGCAGTTTCATGCTACACGCGTGTGTTCTGGGACGCTGTGGATTTTCCCTTTCCTAAGGATCTTGCTCCTGAAACGATTTATAACAGAATGAAACTGACTCTTGAGGAGAAGATGGGTTTTATGGGTGATTTGTCAATCATTGCTTATGTTAATTCGGAAAACAACTTGCTGGATGATAAATCAGCTTATGAGAGTGCCGGGTTTAACATCATATCTCATCAACGTGAATTATTAATCTCCTCTCTCAATCAATCTGGTCTTTTTTTGTTTAGGTCTCTAATAAAAATAATCTACAATTTCTTTCAGAGAGGCATCGTTTTATGTTACGTGACATTGCATGGTGGGAAGTGGATTCGACTTACACCTACAGTAATTGTTTTAAAGAACCATCTCAGATTACTTTTGTGGTAATCTCAAGTCTGAGTGAAGAAGAATCGATTTTCCTCAGTTTTCTTCAAGAGCTGGAAAGATCAGGTTACAATGTTCGCTTAGTAGTGCCGGACGATAACAACCGCCCATCACCTAAGCTCCTAGATAATACTCTTAGCTTCGAATGGCTTTACCACTGCCTGTTACAAACTGGAGACTTAGGAGATCCTAAGCGGATGAAAATGACAAGAGAGGTCGTCCAAACCACCAACCCGCCACCCTCTCCTCCCCAAGTCCACATTCCCCAGGTGTCTTGCCCAGCTCTCTTCTTGGACCTGCCCCCGTTGCCTACATTTTATGATCCTGATTATATTATCTCGTACGTTAGAAGAGAGATGGGTTCTGTTGATGGTGACTTGTCGATCATGGCTTATGTTGATGATGATCCTGTTAATACATCTGGATGGGCTGATGCTTTTACACAATGTGGAATCACCATCATTCCCCAACGAGGTGATACTTAATCTGGTTTCTTTTATATTTACAATCTCTAATAAATCTAAATCCTTATTGCAGTTGCAGGGGATGCACATGCTCGAGCTCATAGAATGTCTGTGGACATTGTTTTGTGGGCTTTGGATCATCCTGCCACCTATTTTCATCCAAGAGATTTGTGGGTTTTCTCTGAAAATGTCAAAGAAGAAACAGATTTCTTCAATGCTCTTAAAGCTTTGGGAGATAGATATTACAGTGTTCGTGTATTAACTCCAAATCTCGGGGATCACCAAATATTTTCAAACCACATGCCAAGGATCAGCAGAGAGGACGACATTGGTTTTTCCAGTGGACTAGCTTCTTTGTATCATCAACGTTTTAATTGTAAGCTCTCTCTACTTCTCTTATACCTCAATCAAATTGTATTTATGATCTAATTGTCCCATTTTTTTTTTCTCTCAGTGTCCCAGATACATGTCTTCTGTGATGCCCAGAGTTGCCCAACTGATATATCAATTATCCTACCAGTTCTTCGCGAAAAGCGTTATCATGGCAGGCTGGTTTTCAGGCCTTACCTTCCATATCAAGCAGATGAGTCGTTGTTGGGCTACAGCGATGATCATGATGGTTATATCCGAGTGCCTAGTATCGATGATGATGATGATGATGATGATGGTTATACCCGTGTTCCTAGTATCAAAGTCAAAGGTGAGTAAGTTCCTTGTAATCTGGATCTGCCTTGATATATGTACCTTCATATTTTTTTAATATATATTATTTTGTTTTTCCAGGGGATTCTTACGCAGTAAGAGCTAGGATGTTGTTGGACATACTTTTCTGGGCAATGAACCATGAAGATCTACCACAAAATTTGATAATTGTCTCACAACCCTCAAAAGACATCGACATTGTTGTTCAAGCCTTGGAACGCAGAGGTTTCAATATCATCTTTAAACCCTCTGATGATGGGGTCGCCTCACATACCATCAATGACCGGTTTGAGTGGCTTTGTAAAAGCCCACCAGACGCTGCCAACCAGATCCTCCGTGTGTCACCTTGTCGGACGATCACAGACGTGAGCCGGAACCTGAAACGTAAGTTGAAATTGTTTTCTCTTGAGATTTCTTAAAGCGGCTCTGATTAATCTTAATCAAACTGCATTTGTGTTTTGTCAGAATGTCGGGTAATAATCTTCTGGTTGGTAGACAGATGCCCGTCTAATCCGTATGAGTTTCGTAGCAAATTCACATCAACGCTTGAGGGTAAAGGTTATGCTGGTTTTGAGTCCGTGACCGCCTATGTTGTAGAGGGAGTGAATACTGATGAAGAGATCGAGGTCTGTAGGAACTCAGGACTTCAGGTGGATGTCACGCCTAAAGATGATGAATATGGGAAATTTAGTTCGATGCTGTTGGACATGATTAACTGGACGCAGCACGGTGGGGCACCCTTCAATTTTTTGGTAATCTCGAACCCCTTTAGAGATGCCATGTGCGACAGTGTCTTTGCAGATGTTAAAAGCAGAGGTTTCAATGTTCTCTTTGAGACGCTTGATTACATGGTCACATTTGGAACCTCTCTATGGTCTGCAGAGAGCATATTACATGGTGACGACGACGCCTATTTCAAAACCCGAAGTAATATTTTACGACAAATTAAGATGACTAGCTAAGCAGAATATTGGGTCTATATAGCAAGATCCCAATGTAATCTAATAGTTACCGGACAGAGCAGATTCAAAACATATCAGCAACATATTTAACATCATAATCAAAAAATATATTAAATAATTCGAAAATGTCGGAGCAGTTTAAAAAAAAAAAAACATGAAGTTATGTTTGTTTTTTTCAAGAAATGATGAGGAAGAATGCTTTTGAGTACTCGTGTTTACATTGCTTTCTATTCAGACATTTCCTGAGGGAATAAATATTATTTTGGGAATGTAATGTCTAAACTTTATGTATCTTGTTGGCTTTTCCTGTCTTGTCTCTCTTAAAAGCTTTTAAATGCGAAGAAGAAAATAAAAACTAAAGGAACAGATATCATATACATGTTCTAAACAGTGATGTTCATCAAACAGATGTTAGCTGGTAAAGAACATTCACCCAAGACTCTGTAAATATCAGGACGAAACTCAAACGAGTTTGGTTCTGATGGTACGGACTCGACCCACTCTTTCTCGACCATTTGAACATGTGAGTTCATCTTCATCACAGCTTCAAACTCATTTTTTCCCTTCAATCTTTTCAGAAACTTCAGTGTGGGTATCATTTCCATGTCCTGTGTGACTTCTTCAGATTCTTCGGTCACCTGAATCCCAACATCAGCTTCTTTTGCGCGCGCTCACGAATCCAACTAGCATCGGGTTGATGTAATGCTGCGGAGGTTGTGATCTTTTTTCAATGCTGTGTGTACCTGAGAGACACATGCCAAATTTGAAAACTTTTCTAGATATGAATAGGATCAAAGAGAGAAAGCTATGGGTTTATAATAATCTGATACCTGAAGATAATCAATTCAGGGGAAAGAATAATGAGTGGCACACAAGCACGTTCTTCTTCCTGCATGTAAGTTAGCCCAATGAGTTATCTAGTATAAGCATCACTAAATGATAAAAAGAAAAAATCATGATTTTGTTAACTACATATCAGCTAACCTTTTATGTAGGAACCTCTCCTCATCGTCAAGTAGCGTCTGAAGGTACGAGACTGCACCATTCTCACCTTCCAGTTGTTCGGTCTCACAGATCATTGAGAACCAAACAGATAGAAACATTTCCCTCAGAGTATAGACTCTTCCCTTGTTGAAAGAAACTCAAGTTATCACCAACTTTCTCTTTACTTGCGTCAAAACCAAGGCAGAGCATTGATTTTCTCTCAGTTACGTTCCATCTAATTTCATCAAGATCCAAAAATGATAATGAGAAAACAAACAGACTTCTCGCAATGTATGTGAGATTTCTTAAAGAGTAGTTATGTACCTCTTCTTGGATGAATCCTCGATACTTTCCAAAGCTTTCTGAAGCAGAGTGGAATTAATGTAGTCAAGGATATATGATCAGCAAGCAAACTCCTCTGAAACTTTTCTCCCAACCTTAATTCATCAAACACATGCTTTTGCTCCAACTCACATGACTTCTTTTTAGCAGCAATAAAAGCCTTTTCTGTTGCTTTTTTTTCTTTCCACTCCTGAAATCCACCAGAAAGAAACGTTTAAGAGACAAAAGAAAGATGTTAACTAAAGTGGTCAATGTGAAGAGATTATTCTTGCTGCTCTCTCTGGGACAAACATATAGAGTTTCTCTTGATTAAGAAGCAATGGAGTTCACTGGCACACGTATATATCTCCGGACCTTGAGATATCCATCCAAAAAGTTGGATTTTTATTACAACAGACAGTGCCGGTCCGGACTAATTTGGTACCTAAAGCGCACAAAAATATGTTGCCCTTAAATATTATTATATTTTTACTTCATTTTGAAATATGCAATCAAAATAATGTACTAGAGTATTAAATCCTAATCTGTTAACAAAATAAATAAATAAAGTAAAAAAAAATACAAAGACATAAAATCATATTATTCATGAAATTGATGTTTTTATGAACTTTGAATAACTAGATATTTATGTCTGATTGATTCTATTAATATTATTGACAATATGTTTAATTAGTTGATCGGATATGAAGATGAATGTCTATTATTAAATGTGAAGTATGTTGTTTGTGTCTATTTAAAAAATGTAGAAGTTGAAAAACTGATAATTTATATCCTTTGTTATGATAAATATCTTATACAAAACTATTTTCTCAAAAAAATAGAAAACAGGAAGAATAATAACTATTTTAAAGATATAACTAGAGTTTGCTTGATTAAATAGTTTATTTAATAATATAGCTGTGATAGAATTGACTGAATTTGTTAATAAGAAGCAAAAAAAAAAAAAGGTAGAAAACAGGGAGATTTGAACTCCTCACCCGTGGGTTTCCATGTGAAGGACATAAACCACTAAGCTAAAGTTATAAATAGTTTAATTTTGGCGCCCCAGAAATATATACAAAATTTGGCGCCTAAAGCCCTTGCCTTATGGGCTTTAGCCCAGAGCCGGCCCTGACAACAAGTAGCTACTACTTTCACACTTGTTCTACAATGGAAAATTATGGTGTTTCTGTTACTTTTAGCGTTCTGTGGATTAAGTTTTTTCCCGTTACCCCCTTTTTATTTGTTTTTCTAGCTTCAGAAAGATTGCAGCTTCTTTGAAATGTGGAATTGATGTTAACAGAGACCTTTCTTCAGACCACATGGAAGAAGATTTGGTCCCTAGGCGTCATAATGATAAGGATATCTCTGTTGTTATAAGAGACTTGATGGGTCTTTCCTCTAGCTTGGCTGTGGCAAAAGCACTGCATGCATATTTGTCAATTGGGGAACAATTCTATCAAGGTTCACAGGCATTGAAGCAAAAAATAAGTTGCTTTGAGATGCAAATCTGCAGGCCTTTATTTTCATGTAAAGCCGTTAGACACTAACCAGTTTGACAATTGGCATATAAGTATCTGAGCTTTGCAGAAACATATGGGGACTTCGATTGGGTATGGGGTTCTTTTAGTTCTGGTTCTGGTTCTGTTTGACTTTTGCGCCTTACTTGTTTTATATATTCAAATGTTTTTAACTTGCAGGCTATTTAAGCTTTATGAGAGATGCTTAATACCATGCGCTAATTATACCGAGTTCTGGTTCTGTTTTGTGGATTTTGTTGAAAGCAATGGTGGAAGGGAGCTAGCTAACTTTGCCTTGGCTCGAGCTTCACAAACTTTGGTCAAGTTATATGGGATTTACGATTCATAAAATAGGAATGAACCACTGGGACCTCTTACATTCACTTGATGCAGCAGCCTTGTATGTTCATTGTAGAATGAATCTACTATCCATCTATTCAATGCATGGTTCAAGGAGCACGTTGGAGATATGTCTGCCGGTTATATTTCTTTGTCTCGATGTGGGCGACTGGTGAGGAGCTTGGTGTTGATTTTGTTCAAAATGTAACTAAGAAGGCTAACATGGAGAAGCGTATGGTATGGGGATATACACTACTCCCTTCAACCATCAGCTGCGTGGGCAATCTTCGAGCCACATGTTTGCTAAAAGGTGCAATGAGGGTCAGAGGGACTGATATGACTTGCAATTGGTACAGCTGAATTGTCCCCCTAGTTGAGCTCCGGAAAGTGAGAAGCAAAAGAGCAAACAAACTTCATTTTCAGATCATGTATATATATTATATATAAGAATTTGAATATTGCATAGTTGACATGAAATCTTTAACCATGTTTCCATGAGTTACGTTTTTATTATCAATCTGCTTGCTGTCCTATTCTTTTATCAAAACTTGAGATTAAAAGAAACGCTCATGTTTGTTATACCATCAAATCATAATTTTAATGCTGACACCATCTTTCCCCACCACCATCTTTCCCCACATTTACTTTGATGCAATCAAACCAGAAAAGATGAACATATTATAACATAGAGTTAACTCTTACATAAATCCATTAGCTCTTACAAATCCATTACTCCATTACACAGACAAACAAAATCCTTAGTTTTTCACACATAATTAATTAGCAAAGTTCACATAAAACACCTACTTCTCTTCCCAATCACGCTACTCTTCATGCATAAGAACTTTTCCCTCGACCAAATCGTACAGAAACCGTGCAGCACGAAAACCTATCTTGAAGCTTGGATTTCCTTCTGGTTCGTGAGTTAGGAGTATTGCATTTCCCTTGTTTCGTAGATCTATCATCATGTCATGAAGGCCAAAATTTCCTGAAATTAACATAACAACATCAGCATCTAGGTTAAGAATCATGTGACGATACACCATCCTTGTAAGGACCAGATCAGCAGTTTCATCTTTAGCCAACAAAACATCTCGATCAATATGTTTTATATGACCATGTGGCGATTCAGCCACACCATTACATTGATCACACAAGCAATATCTCTCCGGTCCATATCTGAAGGTAACCTTATACGGTAGTTTGTCGAAAGGATTCTTCCAACCACATAAATATATGTTTTTGAGAACATAGTTGCTATTAATGCGTTTGAGAGCCTTGGTGATGTTCGTTCTAAGTAGATCACGTAGGGGTGGAAGAGGGAATTTAGCTTTGTTGAGATCTCAGTATACATCAACTAGGGTTCTAACTACATAATACAAAAGAGAGTGAGATGACCACTGAAACATAGACACACTGAAACTGATAGAGATTGAAACTGCAAAGGTTTTCACTTTTAAACAACGCATAACACACCTTTAAATCTCTATAATATTATTTGAAAAGTCAGTTTCCTATGTGTAGTTCTTATGTTAATGTTAAAGCAGTTAATTACAAAAATATTCGTAATGAATTAAAAAGATTATGCATAATGCCTTTATTATAATTTTTTATTTTATTTTCCTTTTTGTTTCATAACTTTTTGCTTTTATTTTCCTTTTTTATCTTAATGTTTTCTTAAACTACTAAAATATGAAAATTATATATGCATATATATAGATTTTATAGATATTTTTAAAAATAAATTATTTTGATAGCAACAATTAAAAAAGATTCACAAAAAATAAAAGTTCTTTTGCAAGTAGCATGGATCTTACTGCTATAATGCAATTGTAA